AGCGAGCCCGGAGTTGTTGGGCTCCTTCTCCCCCGGGAAGGGGTTATCCCCCCGCAGCCCGCGCTCCGGGTGCCCGCGGGCTCTGAGGAAGGCCTGGTGCCCTCCGGGCTGCTGTGGTTTCTGGGGTATCTCGGGGTCTGGAGCAGAGGTGGGTCCTGCTTGTGGGATTTGGGGCGCTGGGATGAAGTGACGTGTGAACGGGCAGCGTTTGCCTGCGGGCCGGGCTGTGCGGCAGAGCTGCGGAACCGGGTCCGGCCCCGCTTTGCTCCTTCTCAGGGGAGATGGACCAGCCGTGCCACGGCTTCCTTCTTCTGGAATTGCACACACCGCCTCCCTGGGAGCTCTCTTGTCTGGGAGCAGGCAGGAATAACTCCAAATTTCATAATCTCCTGTTGGCAGTTATTTTCCACCTTAAAACCTGCGTTTACTTAGGGTATGAGCAAGCAGCACTGCGAACCAGGGAGAGAGCTGGCTGTCACTTCTAATCCCTGCTATAGCTGAGAGCAGGGATGCTGGGCTAAAAAGGAGGCCACAGGTACTTCAGCAGCCTGGGCTAACGGGGAGCATGTTTTAAATGGAGAGAGGATGTTCCTTCTGCCCCTTGCACAGCTCAGGTTCCTGTGTTGTTGATCTCTCTTCCAGGTTCTTTGCATCTGCTAAATAGTCTTAACCTGAATGACAATACTTGTAGGTTCACCACAGGATATACAACCAATCTGTCTTATTCAGTATTTTTCCTACAAGTAATCTGCACTTGAGAAATGTTTGAGTTTTCTTTGTGTGAGGAACTTGGGTTAACTGATGATCCAGTCTTCCTCTGAACAGAAGTGACCCACGAGAAATTGTCCAGAAGATCTTGCATCAGGCAGTGCCTCTCAATTGTTGCAACTCCTTTTATAAATAAAACCAAGGAGGTTTATTTTCTGGCAAGCCTCATACTTTTAACCTGTTTCAATAGCTGAAGGGTGTATGGGCCAAGTCCTGTGAAAAGTTGTATAACTTCTAATACTCCCCAGTTAGCTGTCCAGATTACAGTTTCATTGTTAATGTGTTTCCCTCATGCCTTATTACACTTCTTTGCTAGTGCAAACGACAATAGCTTTTTGTGTTCTTTCCTTTGGTTTGCATGATTCTGGTTAGAAAACAAGAAGTGTCACAACATTCTTTTAGAATGAGCACTTGGAAGTAGTTTTTCAATCCAGACTCTCTGTGTGTGTGTGTTGTTTTGCCTGGGTGAGTGTGATAGGAAATGTTGCTCCCCAATCTGTCTTTCATCTCTGTATTCTGGTACTAACGGATGATCAGAAAAAATTCTCTACTGATTTGTTCTGATCTTTGCTAATAACAGAACGCCAGAGCACTGTGTCTTTTGATTTAAAATCTGCCTCTGAGATACATGTATTAGTAATTGTTTTACTGCAGAAGCCCTGTTGATGGTTGAAAGATGGCTTGAAGTGTGTGTGGCGCAGATGGTTAACATAGAGGCAGTGTGGGATAACAAAATCCAGGAAGCCATAACACAGACTTGGTTTCTTATTTAATGTAAGTTAACTATTTTGTAATTTTGGACACTTCATCTTATGTCCCTGGTATCTGAATAAGTTGTTTATTGGTGCATGGCGCTGTGTCTGGTTTGAAATTTTCTGGTTTAAATAAGCCAGACAAATAGATCCCCGTGCTTGAAGAGATGAGTAATTGAAGCCCCGCTCAGAAATAAGGTTTGAAGTGCTTTTGTGAGGTGCTAAGATTGTATTTTACTTTGTTACATTACAGGTGTAAGGAAGTAGGTTGTCTTTAACTGAACACTTTCTGAGCTTGTTCCTCCTCTCGTATCAAAATGGTATCTTCATAAGAAGTAGATCTGTACAGTTCTTCATCCCAAATTAAAATTTGGAGAATGAGGTCTTCACATGCTAGACTTGTTCTAAAGCTGAAATGCAAAGGCACCCATGAATAAATGTTCTATTTCTTTTGTCAGCAGTATGTATTAAGATTTTATAATGCTGCTTAGTGTTGCAAGAGTTGCTTTAAGCTTGCATTTGTAATTTTTTCCCCTGTAGATCATTGCTTATAAAAGCACTCATACAAAGATGATTTAGGCCTGGGTTGGGTGCACCTTTAATGATGGCAACTGAACTAGTTATAATGCTAACCTTATGTGAGTGCTGAAAACAGCCAGTCTCCTGAATACCTAAGGAAAAGGTGAAGAATTTTAGGAAAAGCTCTGTAGATATGGTGAAATACCATGCTGAAGCTTGTGTTAAATGAATAGTTTGCTTGCCTATTGTTCTAAGCAGCTTCTGTTAATTTAAATTTAATACAACAGACTGGGTGAGTGTAAACTTAATAGCATTGAATCAAGGGCTGTACTTGGCAGAGGCCAAGTTTCTGTTTCCTGGAGATGAAGGTAGAAACTTAAAAAAAAAAACAAAACTGAAACCAAACCTGAACCTGCTACATACTTTCTGGAATTTTCAAGAAACCTGAGGAGGGACAATACTAGTATTTAAAATGTACTTTTGAGGGTTTATGCTTTTTTTTTAGTAAGACCAGGTCAAGCCCCTAGTACCTGCTACATACTTTCTGGAATTTTCAAGAAACCTGAGGAGGGACAATACTAGTATTTAAAATGTACTTTTGAGGGTTTATGCTTTTTTTTTAGTAAGACCAGGTCAAGCCCCTAGTAAATGTGGTTCCTAGATTTTTAGAAAATAGGCTTTAAAATTTTCTGGTATGTTCACAAACTCTTTATGTTTCTTTCAAGTTAGAAGAGCTCAGAATTTCTTACTTCTCAGCTGGTACCTTATGTTTATGCTTTTGTTGTGTTGCAACAAAGAAACTGACAACTGAGGTTTTCTTTCTATGTGTTTATTTCCAG